GGATGGCCGTCGGCGCCCACAATATTGTTTATGTTTAGACACATCTGGCAGGATCTACCATGTTCACCTGGTATGGCAAACGACGACGCCCACAATACTGTTTATACTCTGACGTGTCCGGCAGGTTCTATCGTGTTCGCCTAACATGCCCCGATGGCACCATCCTGCAGGTGCGCAGAGCATGGCAAGGTGCAGTCCTTGGTATTGCGGTTGACTTGAGCGCCTTACCTTATCTGCTCCGCCTGCTCCCCGAGCCCACACCGAGCGAGCGTCCTCGGTCAGTCATTCCGGTCGGAGAAGGGGGTCAGAGTCGGACTACGGTCCCACCTTGGGCAGGCCTTCTGGTCGGGGACCGGATCATTGTCTCGGCCTGTCATTATGTATCTGGGATGGCCCAGGCGCGTGCTGTCGTTGCGCCGCCTGCTGGGCCGGGTTTTGCAGGGAAGCGGGTCCATTGGGGACCCTGGGTTTATGAACCCGACAAATATATAAGGACCAAACCCTTCTCACTCGTTATGTGGGCCGTATGAAACCATGTCCACAAGTGAACTCGTTTGGGACGGGCCGAGTCCGGTACCCATGAATGTTGTTATATACTCCCTATGGTATGTGAGGATAGGGTTGGGTGATGAAATCTCCAATCAGGTGTCGATAAAGTGCACCTAGGCGCATATATTAGCGCACGTGGATAGATGTGGATGTATTTAATATATAGAAGTGGGGAAAGTCCAGTATCTTGACCATGAGTCATACCTAAGGAAGTGTGATGGAAAATTGATCAAGGTAATCATGGGTAAAGCGATACAAACCTACGCAGGGTTAAAACCGTGAATTCACGTTATGTCTCTTGGTATGGAGGCTACGGGAACCTATAGGAGGCGCTGTCCCACTTATGGGTGATAATAGTTTTCGTAACTTATTTTCTAAAATATGCAACTTTTTGATAAATGATCTATAAATGAGAATGGATATGACAAATGGTTAGGCGTGCATTTCATTGATTTATTATATGCTTGCTGAGTACTTGCTATTAACCCTCCCCCTTCAGATGAAAAGAGATAACCTATGATGATGAGATATGTCAAGCACATGACCTAAAGGAAGCCACAAGAGATACATGATACAGATAAATTCCGAGTATAATATGATAGTGTTGCTATTATTTTTGTATTAGGTAATGTTCAATAATTTTTGTCCATTAAATGTAACGAACTTTGTAAGGTCCTAACTATTATTCCGTTGCAACACTTTGATTTTAGGGTCATTACTCGAGAAGGCATCGCTATGTCGGATAATAATCCTTAAGCCGGCATTTTTACCTTAGTAGTGAAAACGTGGGGCGTTACACAAATGAATATAAGTATGTTCTCCTTGGGAAAAGAAAAAGAAACATGGACGCATATGCAGTAGCTGTCTGTGTTCTGTATCATGCGGCAAGTACCTAACACATGTATAAGATGAGATGCTAACACATGTATAAGAAAAATCTAACAAAAAACTGATCTGTACCGTGTAACAAAAACAAAATAATGTAGAAAGAAGGGTCGGCCTAACAGGGCATCAGCGGTTATTAGTCTGGGCCATAAACCCGGCCGTTGTTGGTTCACGCACGGGATTACCTGGGTGACGGGGCGGGAGCCAACGGGGCGACTGGCACAAAGCCTCAGAGATATAGAGATATATAGAGCTATAATATAAATATAATATAATATAATTAATATAAATAACAGGTGCAGAGATATATAGATATATAGAGCTATAATATAATATAATATAATATAATATAATATAATTAATATAAAATAGAGTGAAGAGAAATAGAGATATCCTTTCTAATTTTGATTAGGATTCCTATTCACTACTCAAGATGTAAAGTCCTGCAAGATAGAAGAAGCCTATTTAGATTAGGATTCATAAGTTGTGTACTTTTATATAAAAAAATAGGAGGAGGGTTGTAGATGTGGATGGGAACGGTTACAATATTCATAGAATTAGTTAGAAGAGGCTAGACAAATAAAAAATGAAAAGAAATTTTAGCTTTTTAGTATCAGGTATAGATATATCAGATTTTATAAATAAATAGATTATGAGCCATAAATAGTTCATAAGACCATTATTCATTATTACTTTCAAAAAATAGAAACCTCATCAATCTCATGATCACTTGAATCATCTACGTCTCTTAAGTGGGCTAGAATTATTAATTTATTACATAACATATCAAGCTATTGCGATCGCTACAATGAATTACGGACGCTAAGATTTGCACAACATTAGAGTTGCCGGACGGTCCATCCTATCTATTTAAACAGAAAAGCTGAAGGGCATAAAATCCTTCTTTTTATCAAATGTCCGTTGGATGTTTGGCACCAATTTCACCTTGGTCGAACCATCCGGCTAGCACACTAGATCAGTGTCCACTGTAGACATATTAGACCAGACTCTACCTGCATTTATCCGGTGTGCTCATTTCTGTCACATGTTGGCTGTCCGACGTGTGTAGCAAAACTGTTTTGACTCTCTTTAAAATTTTCAGATTCCTATCAAACTTGATTTGAGTTCCTCCCTACATGATCAAGCTCTCTACCATTTGTTCACTATGTTTGGATCTTCACGCTCACGGAACAATTGGTTGATCTACATGTAATTCTCAAATCCCCTTTTTTGGCAACACTTGACTCTTGAAAGATCCTTTAACCTGAGCCTTCAATCCTTACTTCGATCATCTTTCCATCAACATTGGCGGACACATTCTTCTCATGCACTGTGACATGATATTTAAATGTGTTCCTACAAAACATACATTAGTCACAATTGCAGCCTAGATGCTCATTATAGTACCTAGAAAATCCATTACTTGTAGCTGTCATTAATATCTGCTAGGTATGCATGACTTGCAACAAATAAAACTACCTATGTAACCTTAGCTTTTGTGTTGTGTAAATCAAATGTAGAAATTCATATATGGTAGATGAAAATAGGACTATTCACCAAAATTCTATGTGAGTTCACTAGACCTAGTTGCCACTTCCCCTTGTGTTTTTATTAGATGTATTTTGTCGGCCTTTTAATTTCTAATACATTGCTATGATAAGCCTTATCTGGGTATGTGGGCCACCCCCTAGCGCATATGCTAAATGACCTGTAGTGGTGCCATATATATGAAGCACTGTGTTCGCACATCGACTGCATCCGTTCATTCTCACCTCCTTTCTGATGGCATCCACTCGAAGCCATCTCTCTCAGGCCACCTCGTCAACTGCGTTGCGCCCAATTGTTGACGACGGGGGCCAACACCTATGGCAAGAGGCCCTGGATCGAAAATTGCGCCAACGCATGCTCTACGAGATGTATGTGTTCCGCTCCACTCCACCGCTCTGCCATCTCGTTGTTGTTGCCCGCCCTAATTTTTCTGTTGGTTTAAGGGATTTTGGTTTGATGATCTGGTTCACTTGTGGGCGATCGGGCCACGAGATGTATGTGTTCCGCTCCACTCCCCCGCTCCCACTTGGAGGCGAACCTGGGCACTTGCCCCACCTTGGTTTCCTGTTTTGTCACTGCATGTAGTATTGCTTTCATCCAATTGCTATGTAAAAGTTGTTCTATCAAGTTGTGAAGCCATGTATGAAAAGTCAAAAGCCTAGGCTGTAGGAAACAATTCTTCAAAAAAAAAGGATGTTCTAAACAAATAAAAAATGATAGAAGAGCCTATTACATCATATTGTTGCTGCCCGCTATAGTTGTTGTTGAAAAAAAATTTAGCCCCTCCTTGTTTTCTATCCATGCTCCGCCATCTCGTTGTTGTTGCCCGCCCTAATTTTTTCGGAGGTTTAAGGGATTTTAGTTTGATGATCTGCTCAACTTGTGGGCGATCAGGCCATGCGCACAGTATCCGTATAAGTAGGGATCGATGAGCCATGGTCATCCGCTTACTTGTTTCGTTTCTCATGATGCTGGGGGCTCCAAATTCAGATTGGTAGATACACTCGATCAGAACACTTTATTCGTTGCCGCATCTCATGCCTACCAAAAATTTCTTGGGTTCGATGTGCTCATGCTTTCTTTCTTCTAGAATTCTTTATTCGTGGATCTGACGCAATGATTTCACTTGTAACCAATAAGCTAACTAGCTAGAGTGTTTACCCAGTATGGCTAACTGGGGTGTTAAGAGGATTGCTTAGCTGTTAAGTTTCCTTCTATATATTCCAAACAGAAGTTTCCTTGTATATGTTGCAGCCATCGATTAGTGTCTCAGTTTCATGCGTCTAGATCAGTCTACCCAGACCCAGTTTTATTCAGGCTGCTACTACTTTATCAGGCATACTAGGTTAGTGTATTGATGTGTTGATGAGGCCTTTTTGTTTGGAACAGATTGCAGCGATTTCCCAAATCAGGATCTTCTGGTGTCATGGACCCAGATACGCTCTATCGATTCACTCTGTTGTCGTTGTGTCTTGTGCCTACAAAAAGTTGTTTGAGTTGATATGCTCATGTTTTTTTTCGTTTCTAGAATTGTTGCTTTGTGTATCCGATGCAATATTTCACTTATAGCTACTAAGCTATCTAGGTAGATTTGTTTTCTCAATATGACTAGCTGGGCCCCTAAGCATACTTCAATATTTCAAACAGAATTTCTGTTCCTTTTATAGGTCGTGGAGATAAATCAGTCATCAGTGTCTTAATTCTATTCGTCTGGGTCCACCATTCATGCATACTGTTACGACGACTTTATCAGTCGTACTCTCTTAGTGTACTGATGTGTGGATAAGGCATTTTTGGTTTGAAATATATTGCAATGATTTCTAAAATATGGATCTTTTTGGTGTCGCGGGTTCAAATTTCCTTCATGTTTTATCTGCATAAAGATGATCAGTTTGGTTATCAGCTAGCTTTATTTCTGTCTCTGAGAATCCACTAATGTATTTCTCATCAGTCAGACACATAAGTTCAGCATGCTTCTTTGATGTCTCACGTCCAATCATTTTTTAACCCAATCGAACATGTTCAATTTAATCAGAGCATGTAGATTGGACCACATTTTCCCTGGACTCTCTACCGTGGACCTCAGAAGGGTTACTACCAACTTCGAAAACAAAATATTCCATGAGGCTAATAGTAAGGTAAGCCTATTGTCTCCTCTTTTAGCTGATCAATTAGTATCATTTACATATGTGCAGCGTGTGCATTTCAGCTTCAGATCAGGAGAAGCCTGCTGCTTTCAGAAATGCAAATGTTTATATATATATATATATGTCTGCTACTAATAAGCAGCGGCGGATCCAGGAAATATTTTAGGGGGGACTGAACAACACTGCTGCTCGATCTCAAGTCTCAACCCCCCCTACACTATAGAACTTTGTCTAAAAATTCATATGGGCTCTATAGTAATTTGCACTGATTCGGTATGGGTAGGGGAGGGGCTTGAGCGCCCCCTGCTGGATCCGCCCATGCTAATAAGTAACTAGCCAGTGCAGTATCATGCCAATGTGACTGAAATGAAAAATTAAATAAAATTCGAGGTTACATGTTTTCTTCCATTGTTTCTGTTTTATTGCCTCCGTCTCATATCATAGGGATGTAATGTAATTTATTCCCTTTTTTTACCAGGAAGAATATATTAGGAAAATAGCTCTCAAGTTGGATATTCTGGAGGGAAAACAAAATGTAGTACAGCAACAAATACAAATGGGAAGGCATGTGCGGCCAGTTAATGCACTTCAAGCAAAGGATGGAGGTAATTCTTCCACTGCTGCAATGCCGCAGGGGGCATCGATGATGTCTAGTTATGGAGGGCGATCTTCTCAGATGCAAAGCCAGCCTATGGCACCTCCATCTTTGGATGCAGTGCCTAACAAGAATATGGCGTATCAGAAGGATCTGCAAATGCATTACCAAAACTTTATACATAATCCGACGAGCATTGCACAGGCACAAGAGCAATCAGTTGTTCAACCAAATGGGCAGCATAATCACCTTCCTATGCAAAGTGCCAGAGGACCTAGTATGCTGCTGCACGAGCAGATGATAATGAACCAGCAAGGTATGAGGCTCAATCAACAGCAGATGGACTGGCAAAGGTACCATTATGCCACCAAGATGCATAGTGGTCACCCGGAAGGAGGGAACAGTCAGCACAATGCTGGTTTTGCTGTCAGCAGAATGGAATCTCAGCAAGTAATGATGGAACGTGCTGTAGAAGTTGATTGGCGGGAGGAAATGTCCCAGCAGGTAACAATACTCCTTTCGACATGTGTGAAGGCTGATACATGGATTTGCAGTGAAATTTTCATTTTTCTAAGCCGTATGATCTGTGAGCCATGTCCATTTATATTCATAAAGTAAAATGCTGCTGCCTAAACTTGCGGTGTCATTGCTCACATAACGGATGTGTATGGTCTTGTCTTTTAATCACCTGTTTGCGTTTGCCTGCATTGCAGATAAAGAAACTAAAGGACGATTGCTTTTCAGAGCTCATGGAATTTCATCAACGGATTATTTGTCCAGATATTACAAAGGTCATCTTCCTGTTAACACTTTGTGCCTTCCTATGAACCTTCATCAATTGATATTTTAGTGAATCTCAGTCTCTTACATTCCTTCGTTGCATATATGTACAGGAACAGTTAGAGGCACTACCCAAACGCGAAAATGTAGTGTACAAATTTAAATTATATGTGAAGGAGAAAGCCAGAGTGACGCTGAATTTCTTACTACTAGACAAAGACAAAATCTCCGAAAACTTAAGGGGAAAGTTCTCCATGTATGAGAAATCCACAGAAGAGTTGCTACTTCCCTACAGGAAAAGTAAAGCACGAAAGGCAGAGATTGATGCAAGATTGAAGTCTCAGATTTCTCGTGGGCAACCTCAGACAACTGATCTTAGTTGTGTTCTAGCTCCATCTGATGGCGGTTCCAGGTTAAATATAAAGTACCACTTGCCTTTCATAGGAGTTAATATTATGTTTGAAAAAAATAATATTAACTTTTTTTTTCTGAGGACACGCTTCACACAATCACGCGTATTTCAACAATATTGACTTTTGACAAACGGAGTACTTGATAGCTGACTGTGTGTGACGATGAGCCTATATCAGAACGAAAAAATACAGATGATGTGTTGGGCTGCATTTTATAGTGCCTTCTCATACACATTTACCATTTTAAGTTTCCTCTTCGGTGAAAAATATTTTATATTACCAGCTTCTGAATGACTCAGCTTGTTCATTTCCTGTTCTCTATTATATAAGACAAATTTGTGAAATTCGTTTATTTTTCTCCCATGTAGTAGCCATCACAAGCAGCAAGAGCCACCAATAAGCTCTTGTTTCCCAGAGAAATCACATGGATCCTTGCAGTCTTCATCAATCAATAAGCTTCAGGAGGACTTCATACTACCATTGTCTATTACCAATCCAGGAGCTGTAAAAGTTTCCTCGAACTCTGCTTCTATAAAATCCACATCCCCGTCACTTGTTGCGAAGCAAGATGCTCTAAAAGTTGCAACCTTATCCTCTGAGTCGGTGAAGTTCACATTGCCATCACCAGTTTTCATGACAGGTAATGTAAAATCTGCTTCATGCTCTTCTTCAGTTAAGTCCACTTTGCCATCCATTGCCGAGTCTGGTATTTCAGCACCTGTCCTTCACTGAAATCGCCGTTGCCATCACCCTTTCAACTGCCTGCTGTTATCGAAGCTGCTTCACCCTGTGCTTCAGTGAAATCAACACTGCCATCACCTGTTACCATTTCAGGGGTTGTTCCAGCCGCTTCAACATGTGCTCCGGTGATGCCCACATCATCAGAGAATTTTAAGAGTGTTTCTGCCTCACAGTTAGTGGACAATTCAGCTGCTGCTGCAGAGGTAGCGGCAGGAGGAACAGCAACAGAAGCAGCAGCAGCAAATCAATCTGAACAGGTAAATCCCACTATGACAGCCACCCCAACTCAGGTGCACATAGCAGATAGTGCATTAGAAGATAACCACCACGGTAGAGCTGAAATAGTGGTTGCTAAGAAGCCCATCGATCGCCTAATTGAAGCAGTAAGAATGCAAGATCACTCATCTTGCAAAAACTTTTTCTATATTTCAAATTATCTTACTTATTATTTGAAATATTATCAGGTGAGGGCTTCATCATCAGCAATGCTTTATGACTCAGCCAATTTTATTTGCACAGTCAGCATGAACAATCTGGTACCACATTGGGAAATTGATGAGTTTCAGGATTGGGATTTCTTCTCAGAGCAGGGTGGATCTAGCACTGGGAACAAGATGAAGTGCATTCTCGAAAGTACATGGGGCAGGGTAGAATCAAATGCAGAACAAGGGGCTAAGAGGCAGAGAACAACGGTATTAGCATGAGGCATCATTATATTATTGTGTTTAGTTTTTCAAAACAGTATTACCACAATTTTCTGAAGCCAATGCCAATGTAGTGCTGACCAACTAGTTATCTGTCATAACATGAACAATCTCGCACTATTCAATTTTTTGTAGCAGAATGCTAAGGATGCTCTGTTAGACGAGATAAGATCTATCAACAGCAGGCTGTTCGATACTGTTATCACCATTGTTGATGACAGCGGCACAGATGCGATCACCGCTAGAAATGGTGGCACACTTGTCGAGTTCTCTTACACTGCCATGTCATTGAGTCCAGACCTGAAATTGCTCTTTGCCGCATCTGAAATGGTACTTAATATTCAGAAACCTATTTGCATATTTCGGCACTTTGGATAAGTTACATGGTATTGATGGACTCCCTGACCAATTGTTGCAGCCTATTATCTTGCCTGTGAAGCTATTGGTCCCTGTGGATTACCCCAGGAGCTCTCCTGTGCTTGTCAGTGACCAGTGGGATGAGCCATTGAGGTGAGTTCAGTTAGCTTGATAGCTAACTGCTAGTCTATATGGTCAGTACATTTTTCAGTTTGTTGTTGCATTGCTAAGGTGTGTTCTGGCGGCCTGCAGGAAGAGGATGAGCAACATTTTAGGCACGGCAGAAGTGTCCTTCCGGCATGCCCTCAACGAGCTCCCAAAGCCGATGATGATCAGCAACATGGCAAGGTTGTGGGATGACGCTGTACGGAAGGCCATCATGGAGTTTGCAAAGAAGCACGGTGGAGGGACATTCAGCTCGACGTATCGCCTGTGGGAGCAGTGCTGATGACCGTGCCTGAGAAATGGACTGTGGGAGTGGGAAAAAAAATGATATAGCATGTTGATGACTTGAACATTATGTCGCATGCACTGGCCAGTTCAACTCAAAATAATTAACTGACGACAAAAAAAGTGGGCAGTTAGCTTATGTTGATGGGTAGGTTTTGTTAGGTCTCAGATGTGGAATATAAGCGAACAACTATTTATTTAATCGTGCTAGGTAGGATTCAAAATTGAGACATCAAGCACTGGGAACACAAGGTTGATATGTGCTCTTGTGTGTCGAGTTTGTGATGAGTGATTATCAGAGATGATCGGCTTTGGTTGAGTTAGGAGACTAACCATGGCGTGAGTATGCGTATGCGATGTTTCTCTTGGCTGTGTTGGTGTGCAGCTGTGGAGCATAGAGACGGTCGACGGCCATGGTGAAGATCAAGCAGAGACTAGGAGAGGTGAAGGACGGACGTGAGGCTTGGACCTAGGGACCGAGATGGTTGGAAGACTGACCGTGGTGACTGATACTTGGGGACATCAACAAGAAAGAGCACATGAGGAGTAGACGTGTTGACCAAGTTAATGTTGGGTTATGCGGGTGGCTATACGCTAGCACAAATTAAAAACCGCGTAAAAATAGGATCACTTGCATGTAGATGATTATAGATTATACCTTCCAACGCACGGCGCAGCGGAAGACTTGACGGAACGCACCTAGTCGATGAAGATGACGTTGAGGAAGTAGTTGTATGGTTCGATCCTACGTAGCGCGCAACACAGCAGCACCTCCACGAACGTCCACATGTACGGAGAGAAGAACAACGCCACGCGATGTGCTAGTGCTCGACGACACGTTTAGATAAATTGCACTGCAGCAGCGTTCGTCGCGGCCTCTCGTCCACAAGAACAAGGGCGGCGGCAAAACTGCTCACGGTGGCTGGAGGGATTAGGATTAATCCCCTCCTGGCCGGCTAATTAGCATTTATAGAGATGCTAATGGGCCTGCCTCATGGGCCAATTGGGCTGACTATTGGGTATATCTAACAATCTCCCACTTGCATAAGAGTGAACCAACCATTGTGGCCATGTATTGCAATATCCTGGATTCAATTCAATTGATACATTTATTCTTTGAGTTCTTTCTCCTTAAGTGTGTGACCCCGTAGGTTCATGGAACCAACGGTCATGACGCGGAAACTATTTCCGATCAATAGTTAGCATTGGCCTCTAGCAAGGCATACTAACTCCCGAAAGTCCACGAAGATCATATCTTACACAACCTATAACACTCGCCATTACTATGTCCTTCTGCCACATGACACCTAGCCAAGTACAAGGCGAATGAAGTGCAACCCTTGATTCTCAGCCATTTCTTGCTCCGTGCAGAACTTATTTTATTGACTAACCATTAGTCAAGGCATGGACATGCACTTTCAGTTCCTACACATCGAGAGGGCCCAGAGGAGTCTCTCCTTGATACAGGAGGGGCAGATGCCATCTTGACTTGACGCACCCTGCAACTTGCTTCAGAACATACCCAAAAGCTACTTTATGACTACCTAGTTACGGAGTAGTGTTTGGAAGCCCCAAAGTATGACACACAATCCGGGACTCTATGTCGATCTCAGATCAGAGGACGTTAGTATGTGTGTCATTTGTGAGACAAACCGATAGCACATATTCATAGTGTCTCATAGTGGGTCGATCCGACACTGTGTTCCCAACACATATCTACATTGTTGGTCCAATATCCAATATCGCTATGACCTATGAAACATGATCATCCACCCAACACATGTACCAACTTATCTCTACGTCACAGTCCCACATGACGGATAGAAGATGGGGACCTCATTTAGTATGTCTTCAAATTAAATCATGGTGTCGGGTTCATAAACCCGGGGTCCCTCGGGGACCGGCTTCCACGCCAGGGCTCGGCCTAGGAAAACAGCACGTAATTCATGGGCTGGCCAAAGAGTCTAAAACACAACATGCCTAAGGGACAAGCCCGGTCGCCGACCGGAAGGTCTACCCAAAAGAACAAGTGCCCGCTCATCAAATTTCTTCGGCCCACCTCTCCGACCGGAGCATTCGCTTCGGGCACCAGCCGCCTCCGGGCGGTCTCTCCGATCGGAAAGGCCTGGCCCAAAACACCGCTTCCTACTCCGACCCCGCGTCTTCGACCGGGGACCCCGTAGGAAGCCTACTTACCACTCTCCTCCGACTAGCATGGCCAGGGCTGACTGGGGCCATCCAACCGGGGACGCCCGCTCGGAAGGGACCAGGGGCAAATGGAGAAGGCAGTGCACGAATTCAAACCATGATACCAGGACCATACCCTGTACGCCTGCGGGAACAGTGCCCCTCAACCGCCTTGACACAAACAGTATTGTAGGCACCGACATTTGTGTCTACAGTATTGTAGGCGCCATTAGGCTCCCATACGGCAAAAAGCCCCCCACATACCTCTGGGCATCGATAGTGGGCGCCAGGGTTCACCATACCTGGTGCACAGGGTAGGGCTCCTCACATACCAATAGTATTTTGCAGGTACCGACATCCACCCTTCCTGAAGAAGCCAACGCAACCTCCCATGTGCACCTGACATTCTACAGTGACGTCAACAGTATTGTGGGCGCCTACCATCATCACTGTCCTCATCGGCATGGGCAACAAGACTTAGTAACATCCGTACTCTCTCCCTCTCACCTATAAAAGCCATCCCCCTCTTCTATAAAAGGGGATGCGCTCCCTCCAACGAAAAAAGGTCAACTTCCCCAAGTTCAGATTCACTAGATCGATAGCTCGCAACCCCACAAGCACACGCTTAGACTCCTAGCTCATAGCGGAGTTTCGATCGCCCTTGGCCCTTCCAGTCGGACCCGACCGGGCCTCTCGTACACACCACCTTTCTCCTTCTCGTTTGTAACCCCACTACAGACTTCGAGCACCTGGGCTTAGGAATAAAGTCACCAACCGACCCACACTGGACGTTGGGCATGTTGCCTGAACCAGTATAAATCTTGTGTCATTGAGTGCTAGGCCACCTCCAATCGCAACGTACAGCAAAACTACAAATATTCACTAGTTGGTCACTTTTTGTACCGACAGTTGGTGCCGTCCGTGGGGAAGACGCTGTACGTTCAACACTTTTTGGTCATCGGATGGCCCATTTTTTCACCACCCCCGCCGTGGCGGGCTCGGGCGATACGATTCGCTCCGGCTCGCTGGTGTATCCCGCACCCTCGCCTGTGGGGATACGGGTTCCACCCATTTTCGAGCCTCGAGCCATCCCAGGCCTTCCTCTTCGGAATCCTGGACTTCGTCGCCGACCGGCTCGGCGTACTCCACCTCCACGAGGAGACTCGCGACCCGGCACCCATCGAAGAGACGTCCTCCATCGACTCTGGGACGCGCGACCTCAACGGCGTGGCATCTGCGCTTCATTCCGAGCAAACTCTCTGCTGAAACCCCGCTGTGAGTAATATACATACCGTTCTTTACTTACTACATTCTATCTTCCGCCAAACACCCGGAGGGCTTCCGTTGTCCCTGTCGCAGCCACCGTACGGCCGGTTCCCCTACGGCCTCATGTCTCCCATGGACGTGTACACCCGGGGGCTCCAAAAGATTATGGCGCCGCCCCCTCTCATGTCTGAGTTCGTGGGGATGGCGAGCTACGGTCCCACCTGTTTCCTCGACATCATGGACGACGACGTCAGGAGTGACGGCTCTAGCATTGGCGACGTGGCACCCAGCCACCGTCCGTCTCGTGAGTGCACCATGACGGACGCTCCGGAACAGCCGCCAGGGGCAACGGAGTCCTCACGGACTCACGCCCCTCCGGGCCCTCATACGGAGGCCCTCGAGCTCACACGAGAGCATGGGGAGGATCTACGACGACAGTGGACGCATCAGCCACCGACCGCACCAGCACGCTCGGCGCACCACACTGCGCCCCGTGCGCATAGACCAGCGAGCGGAGCTCGGGGTCATGCCTGTTAGGTCTAGCGCAACACCCCGGATAGGGGGATCGATCCCCCGCAGTTCGCTCGGGCCAGTCAGAACATTGCCGCAGCGGCAATGCTCCTGCGCGGCCTGTCCGAGCCGAACGACCCCCGCGAGCGGGCGATCCACCGGAACCTCCAGGCACTTGTGGAGACCGCCGCCGTTCAGCAAGCGGAGTGCTTCGTATCGCGATGCCGACTCGCGACCTTGCTCCCCGTCCGGGGAATAGGGACGCAGCAGATGGGGCACTACACCCTGTCACCGCAACAACCGCTGAGCATGGCACATGAGGCCGCAACGGCACCTCATCTTGACCTGACGACCATTTTGCACCAACCGCCTATCTACGCGTGGCTCAGACCAAACCAAGGCACGTGCAGCGGCGACCGAAGTCCCAGCACTGATGACTCGGGACCACCAACCTTTGCCCAACTCCCCCAGCAAGCGCTATTCTCACCGCGCTTCAACGGGGGCCACGGCAAAGGAAAGGCCAAACACCAGGATCAAGACGAGGGCCCCTCCACGCAAAGGGGAAAAAAGAACAGAAAGGATCACCGCCGACCGGCCAACTCCGCATCGGTCGCCGTGGCCGATCACCTGGGCTCGCAGTCCCAGCAGGACCGATCGGGACACTTCTGCGAGCTCATGGAAAGCCCGTGCACCAACCACAACTATCCCATCAACCATCTCTACAAGGACTGCCAGCTCCTCAAGCGCCTGCTGAGGTAGACTGGCAGGTCAAGGAAAGAAAAAGGCGAAGAAGCAGCAATAGAAGAAGGGGGCACAACGGGCGAGGATCTAGATGGCTGAAGGCTGAAGTGATCCGACCGGACGCCCACCGACTGAAAGACAACGACGACGACGTTCTCTCCAAACGCTTGGAACAGCTATGTCATTCTTTCCTTTCCCTAAGTTTCAGTTTTTGTTTACTTAGCAAACGCTCCTATAAGAGCACCCCGACCCGAACACTTTTCGGCCCGGGGGCGCTCGGGGCTCCACTAGGGG